CTCAAGCGGTGTCTAGTGTTCCTAAGCACAAGCAGGTGTCTAGTGCCTTATGGAGGCAGGTGTGATGGACAAGTTGCACTCAGGCCTGGGTTATAGTGGTGTGGGATTCTACAGGCCAGTGGAGTTCAATGTCAACCAACCAAATACAAACAGCAAATAAGGTCTCTTTGAACAAACACACCCATAAACAAGGTATGTAATGACTAGTGGAAAATACTGTGAGCAGGGGCTCTCTGTAACATACTTTGTACTTCCCTTAGGAATAATGCTAATTCACTGTTCACAAACTTTTATAGAACACAAGGGCCCATTCAATGGTAGATTTGGAGTCAGAAACCTTGGATAATAATTCTAGGTCTGCAACTGATTTCACCTGTCTGGGTCTCAACGTTATCTACAGAATGGGGATGATATTATTCGCTATAGGCTCATGGAGTTATGAGAATAAACTAAAATGATTATAAGCATTTTTTTTTTTAAACAAAGTAGGACTGGGGTTGTAGCTCAGTGATTGAGCACTTGCCTTGCATGAGGCACTGGGTTCCATCCTCAGCACCACATTAAAAAAATAAGTAAAATAAAAATATTGTGTCCATCTACAACTAAAGAAAAAAAACCCAAAAGACAAAGTAGAAGTTCTTATGTAAAGAACAACAACATTCTTTAATAAAGGGTGCTGGAAAAACAACTGCCACACGCAAAGAGTGAAATTAGACCCATATCTTATACCATATGTAAAAATCAACTAAAAACACATAAAAGACCTAAATATCAGACTAGAAGCTATAAAATTCCTAGAAAAGAACAGAGGAAAAGCTCCTGGACACTGGCCTTGACACTGACTTTTTGGATATCACGCTGAAAGCCCAGCCACAAAACCAAAATTAAACAGACAGGATCTCAAACTAAAAAGCTTCAGCACAACAAAGAAAACAACCAACAAAATGAAACACAAGCCTACAGACTAGGAAAAATATTTGTAAACCATGTATATGATCGAGGGTTAGTATCCCCAATTTATGAAGAATCCATACAACTTAATAGTAGAAAATCAAATAACCCGATTTAAAAAATGGACAAGACTTGAATACATATTTCTACAAGTATATAAACATGGCCAACAGCTAAATAAAAAGGTGCCCAACACCACTAATCATCAGGGAAATGAAAATCAAAACTACTATGACATGCCACTTCAAACTGATCACAATGACTATTATCATAAAGTCAAAGATAACATGTTAGCAAGGATGTGGAGAAAAGGGAACCCTCATATACTCTTGGTGGGACTATATGGTCAGACATTATGGAAAACAGTAGGGAGGTTTCCAAAGAAATTAAACAGAACTATCATATTTCCCAACAATTCCTCTTTTAGGCACATCCACAGGCAATGAAACTACCACATCATAAAGGCATCTGCACTGTCTGTGTTCACTGCAACATCATTTACAGTAGCCAAGACAGAGGAACAACACATTTCTGCAGCAGCAATGGGTAGAGAAATGGTGGCATATATATATAGAATGAAATACTGTTCAGCCATTTTCTACAATATGGATGAGCCTGGAAGACATTATGCTAAGTGAAAGAAGCCAGGCAGAGAAAAACGTTGTGTGATTTCATATATAGAATATAAAAAAACCACACAGATGTGCTGATAGAGAGGAAAGTAGTTACTGGGGATCTGGGGAGGGGGGAGAAATAGGTCAAATGTAACAAAGTAGCAGATACATAGGATGAACAAGTCTAGAGATCTAATGTACAGCATGAAGGCGAAAGTAATTAAAATTATACTGTATTTTGGATTCAGGCTAAATGAGAAGATCTTTATTGTTTTTGCCATAAAAACAAAAAAATGGTTAACTGTGTGAGATGGTGGATATTAACTTCACTATAGTAAGGTTTTAATTACCTACATAAATTCCATAACCTCATGTGATATAGCTTGAATATATACAATAAATTTTAAAAATAAATAAATTTATCTTCCCTATATTTGGCACTTGGAAAATTTCAAGGTAATTTAATTACCACATTTTATGATTCTAAGACACAGTTTTTCTTATTTTAATATTACCAACTTCATGTTCAAAAACGATTATAATGTATAATTATGATTTGCATTGTTTTCCTTCTTTCTTAGTAGAACATAAACACTGGTGTCTTATACTCAGTGGTGTCTTAGATTGATGAAATATGGTATTTTATAGCCATTCTCCTTTATATGTGCTCATAACATCTTTAGGCTACCCTAACCTGAAACTTTAATCCATTGAAAAATTCCACCCATCATTTTCTTCTAAAAAAATCTCTTAGCACTTCATATTCTGATCCAAATACTTTTTCCTTTCGAAGCTTCTCTTTTTTTGCAGTACTAGGAAATTAACCCAGAGCCTTGCACATTCTAGGCACAACTCTACCTCTAGCTACAACCCAGCTCTTTTTACTTGACTTTCAGTCAGGGACTTACTAAGTTGCCCAGTCTGGCCTCAAACTTTCCTGCCTCATCCTTCTGAGTAGTTGGGATTACTGACTTTTTCACGTTTTAACTGACTTTGTAATTTCTATCGTGGTGACCTAATTAATTAATACAAGGAAAAAGCACCACTGCCATTTCCTTGGAGTAACAGAGTGAAACTAACTCTGAAAACTAAGACAGCACCTCCTAGAAGCCTCTGGTTTTCATGGAATTGATCATCAGTAAGACTATACTGAAAATTCACAAATAATACTTAACACTGGCCTCTTGGGTAGTGCCAAAAATACACCTCTCGCCAGCCTGTTTTTGGTAAGGTCTCAAGACCTTCCTTTTCCCATTTTACAGCTGCTTAAGTGAAATCATTTCTTAGATGATAAGCTCATTTCTCTTAATTTACTTCAAGAACTGCTCCAGGTATGAAGGCTTTATTATTTGGGGGAACTCTTTCTTTTGGAGGGCTATTGCAGTTGCTCAACAGTACTCCTCTGGAGAAGCAGAGATGAGATCAAGGAAGCTCCCTGGACTCTGCCTGCAGCATGTACTCTCATTTCACTCCCAACCGATTCCCTCTGCTAATCACTGAGTGCTGCCTTCTTTTATATACATCCATCCAGACTGGCTATAAAAAAGTTGATTGCCCTATAGGTAGATTCTTGAGGAAAGTTACAAGTCCATCCATGGAAACGTACTGGCCTCTAGGACAATAGGGGCCTACTATGTCCACTGGGAAGCAGGGACACTGCCTAGGGAAAACCCCTCCAAGTTATATAGTGGTGTTACTGCTTGACAAAACACTCTTAGCATGTGCAAAACCAGCCTCTTACTGCACTTTTCTTCAAATGAGTCCCTAAAAATAATAGATTTTTTTTTCCCCCTAAAAATGCAGAGCCAATAGAGAGAAGAGTTCTTCAGAAGCTGGGCTCCATTGCTTGTGGTTCTGAATGGCTGGTGTCAGTTTCTACAGCAGGATGATCCCCAGGATGCTATTTTTCTCCTCCAGTGAAAGAGGAGTGGGAGTAGATCTGAAAATATCCTACTGAGGTAAACCCTTAGTGAGTGGACCACAATTCCCAGGACTTAGAGTTGTAGAATCCCCAGTGTGTTAGCTGCAACCCTATCTCCCTGATTTGGGGAAATGAGCAGTGCTCTGGTTCTGGTTCTACCCAGCGATCTCCTGCAGTCAGTACCTTCCTGACTTGGGAAAATGGCACCTCTCTGCATCTAATCCACAGCTCAAATGCAAAAAGAAAATGAATTAACTTCACTAGAGCTTCTCCTCCCCAAGACTACTTCACTTAATCTAACTCCAAAATGTTCTGAACAAAATCTCAGCTCTATTTGGGAAATTCTTTTAAATGAAAAGAGTGGAAAGATGAATTTCTAATTTAGCAGTTCTAAACATTCATTTCTGTTTTTGCCTTCTAGATGTTCTAATAAACAAGTGTGAACTTTATTAATGTCTTTTATTTCTAGATCAGATACCAAATAGGTGATATAAAAATACCAGGTTAAGTGAACATAACTTATGTTTAGATGCATGTGTCAGCCTTCAAAGTTTAAAAATTTATTACGTATGCTTTATTTGACCATAATAAAATAGTATGGTAGTTCATGTATGTAATTAGCTAGACTGCGTAGATTGGTTAAGTATATACTCCAAAATTTACCATCCATGGGCTGCATGATTAAAAGTTTGAAGAGACTGTTCTATTGATGATCTTAATGTCTTTTCTAAGTCCCAGGCACACAGTAGAATTCAAAGATCAATGTAAAATCAGTGCTTTTCCAAAAATTGAAAACAACTTAGCAACTTGGAAAAGGTCTCTGCATACAGACGATTCTACTACTCTGAAAATCTAGTCTTTTTTTAAAGAGACAGTAGATGCCTAGTGTTTAACCAGGACACAAATAGTTTAGGGCCAGCTTAATTACTGCTCTATCTTTGGCCTATTAGTTTACTGTTTCTTATTAACTTTAAGGGGGAGTCTGTATTCTAAAAGAGACTATGCCTGCTGAAACTTAATAAGAAAAGCAAGGGAAATTAATGGAACAAAAGAGATTTGTTCAGTACTATTGCAGTACACCTCTGAATGGATATTTTCACTGTAATTTCTAGCAATGGCAAAGCCTTTAAAACCACAGCAACAGGACCACTTTTTTGAAAGGAACTCAGGCTCACAGCACTTGACCTACTTCAATGTCAAGGAATCACATCTAGGAATTATTTTAAGACTGATAAAGATGCCTTTCATGAGGAATATGGTCTTTAAGTCTATACCCAAGATCACTGTTGCTGAAACAAAGACAAAATAGTCTAGTGACTCATCCCCAAACTTCTTTGGCACTGGGTAGGCTTAAGACCTCTTTATCGTGCCTATTTTCCCAATTCTTCTGTTGCTGGCCAAAAAAAATTTTAAAATTAAAAAAATTACACACATACACATTATGCATACAGAGAGTGGAAATAACGGAAAGGAGTAAGATTTGCAGTTGTCTTGCAAGTCATGTGGAAGCATACCTGGGATGCTTTCTAATTTCCTTCTGAGCTCTTCATTTTCTTGTTGCAGTGAAATAACCTCCTGCTCTAGCTCTTGGCATCGGGGACAGTAGCCTTCTTCTTCCTCCTCCTCTTCCTCCTCCGGGAGTGTAGAAGATGATGGGTGACCATGGGACTCAGAGGTTGCTGGGGAGGTCCAGCCACCTAGTGTATGCACGGGAGAGGTGGAGAGAGGATCCACATCGGCCAGGTGGCCATACTCACTAATCGTTGAGGTGTTTGGAGTTGGAAAGCTCCCCGAGAGCAGGTAATTTTGGAGGGAGTCAGTGAAAACTCTTAAAAAGGCAGAAGTTTGTTGTTTCCTTTGCATATATTGCATCTCTATGTCTACATTGTCTGAAGTCTGACTGTGGACCCCTTTCCCAATGTGACACTGTTCCTGTCTTTCATTATAACTAGAGCCTTCCTGCTTTACGCAAGAAATCATGGATTGAGAATGGTTTGAGTCCAGAAGTTTTCCTCCACAATTTAAGAGGCTAAGAACTCGACTGCACTGCTGGGCAAAGGCATCCAAAATCATACGACTCTCTGAAATGAAACAAAAAGACATGTCAGTGACCAACAGCTTAAGACGACAAATAAACAAAAGTCCTCTACTTTAACACTTAAACCCATTAAAATATGTATTTTTACTCTGCCACAAACCAGATGACACAGAGAATCCACTGTTAACAGGACAAATTCCTATTGTTCTATGATTGGCAGGTTCCTGATGAGTCACCTCCAGTCTCTTACTCTAAGCAATGGCTGGCCTATGATTCTGGGCACCGTACAGAGATTTCTCTCTCTCTGACATTAACTGGCCTGCACAGGTCTGCACTCACACCTTCAGCTTCATTAATATCCTTACTCTAATGAATGGAGCTGGCCACTGCAGACTCAATTCCTCATTGATAGGAGGGCTTAGAGCAATCATTACTTCTATTTCTGGAGTGCCCTTATGCCCTTGCTATTAATCAGCTGATACAATCCCTGCCAAGAGTATGTAGCTCCCAGATGCAAACTGGAGAAGAAAGATAAGTCTTTTTGAAGAGCTCACTAGAAATCTAAGATAAAACAAAGAGTGGGTCTATAGGCAAAGAATGAGCACAAAACAAAACCGCATGTGTCATTCAACTTCTTTATTTAGTATTCCTTCTTTAAATTTACCTGCTAATTTGGATTTCTTGTCAAAGCCAATGTTTAGGCTGACCAAGATCCATATATCTGAAAATCAGGAGTGCCTCTTCTCAGAGCCATTTTCATTTGATTGTCACATCTCCCCACATGGCATCAGGCGTGGGTGCTAGGTAGCCCACATACATGAATTCTAAAGCATATTAACTGTCAAGCAGTGAAAAGCGAAAAGTAAACTGAAACCAATCAACTCCCTACAAAACACAGGAAAAACTCCCCAAATCATGATAGTGTTATTTAACATCAGCCTAAGGTTCTTGAGTATTCACCCTATTGGAAAATGTCACTGGAAAGGTTCTCCTCCCATTACTACCTAGACAAGTGATTATAAACACAGACAGGGACACTTTCCAGAGTTTATACAGTGGTATGAGGATGCTTCAGCTTCTCCTTACCCAGAAAAATGGCAACAAGGAAAGCACTAGAGAATTTAGCTGCCAGTAATACTTGTTTGTAAAACAGCCACTTGCTGCTTCTGAGAATGGTGACTATTCCTTTTTCTTTCCCAGGATAGGGGACCTTCAAAATTAAAAATATTGAAATACTTGTGTGCTTCTACAGGCAACAAGACAGAAGAGTTGCAGTAAGAAAACCTCTAGAAAACCCAGGATATGTGACCAATGAAATTGCATTTCAAGAGACCCCTGTGCAGTGCCTCCTCCAGGGTTTTTTTCCTTAGCATTCTTTTGTGAAGTAACTATGGTATTGGGGAGACAGAGGAGTCCAAGTAACCTGGTTCTAACTATTTAATAAGAATGTGAATAAAAATCCCACAACACGGTTGACTGGCACACAGGAAGCATCCCTCATGTACCCCACATCTATACAATGCTACCATTCCAGAATCCTTTAGAAAAATAACAAGTCAAAGAAACCAGAGCCCAGATCTTTTCTGTTCAGGAAGCAATTACAGGCTGTACTGGGGTGGGAGGATCAACTCAGTGTCTCAAGAAATACTGAGGTAGAACTCTTGTAAACATGTAGAGGACCTCAGTTTACAGCATTTTCAGATTTACTTGGCTGAGATGGGGGTGGCAAGATCACCTTTGGCAGCCCTCAGGGCTGTTTACTTCTTGGGACAGCACTTCCTTACTCTTAGGAACAGTACTATGAATCTCTGCCCTGACCCTCCTCCTCCAGCCAGTCTTCTCCCTGTTGTAAGGTACAAGATTAAGAATTCCCTACTCTAACTGCTTGGGGAGCCTGTGCCCTCAGCCATCTACCTACAGAGGGATAGCAGCTAGAGCTTGGAAGCATGGACTGTGTGTATATGATGTACTTCTGAGTGCAAGATGAAGCTGGGAGTCAGAAGAGGTGGTCATGGTTGGCTAAAAATCCCAAAATCAAACATGGTCATTATAAAGGTGTATTTGTCAAGACAGGTGAAGAGAATGTATTTTATTTAACCTCTGATTCAAGATTTTTAATTATTCAATACATGATATAAGGCCTGCTTTTTGGTCCTGAGTCACACAAATACTTTGATGCCATTTCATTACAATGACCTAAACCAAAAAAAAAAAAACCACCAAAAACATGAAAGTAAACAGCCGAACCATACAAGTGGGGAGGTTTAAGATGTTTTATTCTCATTTTTTCACTTCCTAGTTTTTATTCTTTTATTAGTAAAATCAAAGGATGATATTGATTGGGAATGTTCAATTCTAGCACAAGAGCAGTTTTCATTCATTTTAATCCTATAATCCCATTCTAGACTTGAAGTTGTATTTACTGTTTGCATTTTAATCAGCATAGTCCCAATTGATTTACAGCCTATACACCTTTAACATAACCTTGATGAAAGGGACAAATACGCAAGGAAAGGCTAAAATAGGACTGCCTAGAAAGAGCTGCTCGATTATATTTGTTCAGTGTCCTAGAGAACACTCAGTAGTTTTAATCATATTGATGAATCACATTACAGCATAGATTTTAAGGGGAAAAAAATCTGACTTAGGGACAAGCGTGATTTGTTTTCTTAATTGAAGGATAAACTCATAACATGCTGAGAAAAAATCATTATGTAATATACTACATTATGAAGATAATCTATTAAAGTGTACCCAGAATATCAGAGAATAGCTACAATCATAAAATAGTTCTTGCCTGCAGTTCTTAAAATGCTTCATTCTGAATTTGTTCTTAGAATTGAAATATACAAAAATAGCAATCATACACCCTTAAAGTTGAATTTTTTCCCTCTTTAGTACCTTGAAATATTTGAATACTATTTTCTATTTTAACATTGATACATGAAAGCCATGATGAAATATATTGCATTACACTTGGTGAGGGAAAATAGCAACTCTTTCCACTTAATACATATTGCAGTCAGCAATATTTTAGCTTTCTAGACAGAATATAATTAGAAATCCAAGTACTAGGCATAGCACATTATCACTAAGAAATGGAGAAAAGTTTTGTTTTCATTTGAACACAAATGAATGGCTACTGATGCATGATTCTTAATTGAATAAAGTGTTAACATGTGTTTTAACTTTTTTTCCCCCCTAGTCATGGAATGCTCCTCACACAGGGATAGCAGTGAAGTACAAATTCAACAGTTTATAAGGAGGCTTTAAAATTGTCTATTTTATCCCCAACTTCCCTAAATAAAGCAGCATGAAATGTTAATAAATCACAATCACAAAGCACTGTAAAATGACCACTTCTAATTTATTTTGCAGCCTGTTGGGAGATAATATCATGCTGCAAATTGTGCCTAGTCTGATTCCAAAATCTAAACCCCTGATTATTTTTTTAATTAAAAAATTCATTTCTTGAAATTCTTCTGCATTTAAGTGGTTTAATCCATCCTAAATCTGATAAATGACTAAGAAGAGAGATGGGAAGTAGGCAATCAAACACAGTCTCCCTACTTTACTAATGTCCTTCTTTGTAAGGAAAGCCTTGAATGGAATGTGCCCATCACCGCAGGCTCCCAAGAGAATTCTGTTTCTATGAAGGAGATCACAGTACTCAAGATTAGTGGTAACCTTTTGATTTTAGCCCAGCGAAGGGTGAAATATATTAATATTAAAATGCAGAAGCAGAATTTTTTGTGACCTACTACCATGTATCCACATATTATAACTACCAAAAGGATTTCTAATAGTTGATTTCCATAAAACGTTAATTTAACTTCTTTTTAAGAGAGGACATCATGGCATAGAAAATAGCAGAAATGAAAGCTTTGGAAGCATCATCCTTGTCTTAAATCAATGAATGATGTCTTTTAAAAAAATGCCATCCAATTTTTTTTCATAATGGCAAACATCAACACAGCAAAACAGGATGCAATTTTTCTAAATAAATAAATCAATGATGTGTCAAAAATTAACAGATGAGTTAATATACCCGGTGCTATCAAAACCAGATGGTGCTTCCTAATATTCATCCTGCTCAGTCAATCCCTGAATATTTTCTGGACCATCGGTATATAAAATAGGATGCTGCTATTTGTGATGGCAAACAAAAGCAATCATGCCTGCCAAGCACATACTATAACAGGCAGCATTTCAGCTCTGCTAGACAGAAAGTAATTAGAATGCTTTTAATGTCCAAAAGAATGATGCTGATAGGCTGCCACAGATGTGTAGATTTATGAATATTTATATGGTGGTTTATAGCTGACACTTTTATCAGTTGAAGAAGATAAAATATCTGCCTGACTCAAAAGCTTGACAGTCAGGTTAATAAAATCTCATTAAAGAGAATGACCTATGCAATTATATAGGATTTATTGTAATTCATTTTTGATTGTACTCTGCTTAAAGATGCAATTTCCCATTTCCTGATGCCAAATTTAGGCTGCATATCAAGATCTACGTGGATTTTAACTCTAAGCCTCCCACAGAGGAAAAATGTGCTTTTAAAACCATAGTGTAATACCCCTTTTAAGGAAAATTATACTCTTCACATGATTTTATAAGAATATTGAAAAATTCTATTTTTAATCATATATTTTTCTTTTTAATGACTTGTGGCTCTTAATGGGAAATAAGATTCACTTCAACCCTTTCATCTTTTCACTGCATTTGCCCTGGATGGTCCGCTGTGCCTCTTTTCTACTAGACTCGCTTCATCCCGTTGATGCTTTGACAATTTTCAGTTTGCTAGGTGGCCTAAGACACTGCAAACACACTTTAGTGAGGGTGCAACAGGCAAAGCACCACCCCCACCCCATGTATTTAAATGGCTGTGGCATGCATATGAGCTCATTGGCTCAAAGTGGAACCATTAGTTCCTCAAAGAACCAATCAGCTCTTCTGCTGGCTGTCCCTCTGATGGTCACTTGCATCACTGTGATGTTGAGGGATGGCTTTGTCCATCAATGATTAATACTATGACCACAATCCATGGTGTCTAGTCCAATGGCTTTTTTCCCTCTTTTCCTTTTGCACTCAGACCATCTCCATACTGCACAGAAAAAAATCTACCATCCACTTCCTATCCTTCCAACAAGCACTAGGCATCTAGTCCTCATGGTATCAATCTTACCTCTCTGTTTAAAAACTTGTTCTTGTTTTTCTTCCTTTCTTTTTTTTTTGATAGCTTTGTGAATAAAAAGTAGTATGGAAAGTTTTTATATATATATATAAATAAAACCTCTCACACCTTTAGATACAGTGATGTTGATTTCTACCTGGAGACAGAGACAATAAACTAAATGGACACTAGAAGAAACACTGAAAGCACTTTAGACAAGATGAGAAGGTGGGAACTACAAAAACAAAACAAAACAAAACAACAAACAAACAAAATCCCCGAAACCCTCACATGAAGAAAAGAAAGCAAGAGAAACTTCCAGAGCAGGGAGGTTTCATGGAAAGGACCACAAGTGACTGCTGAATGGAAGAAAAGAAAAGAAAAGAAAAGAAAAGAAAAGAAAAGAAAAGAAGAAGAAGAAGAAGAAGAAGAAGAAGAAGAAGAAGAAGAAGAAGAAGAAGGAAGAAGAAGAAGAAGAAGAAGAAGAAGAAGAAGAAGAAGAAGAAGAAGAAGAAGAAGAAACACAGGAACAGTGGCAGGAAAAAACAAATTTACACAATGGATGAAAATGGGAATGAGAAGGTGTAGATTTATAGTGTATTAAGGGAATTAAAAGATTGGAAGATAGCAAAGCCTGAAAGGAGAAAGCAAGGGAAGATAAAAGACTGAACCAGGCAGATAAAAGAGGGGGAAACCTCAGTGGACACGTGAAACCAAGGTTATGCAAAGGAGTATGCAAAATAAAGAAAATGGGGAAAGGACCCAAATTGCTGGAAAACCTAAAGTAAAAGGAATGCTGAGCTGGAGTATAAATGAGGACACCAACAAGAGGTAGAATTTAAGAGTCAGACTCCAAACTCCGAAAAAAGAACATTAACCTTAATAAGGGAGAAAATACAAGAGAAATGGGGGAAAAGGACGCCCACAAGCAGCCTAACGATGAATTGTAATACCACAATAGAATACTGGGCCAACAGCAACTAAAATCAAAAACAAAAAAACCTCACAAACAACAAGGAAGCCCACATAAGAACCCCACTCAACGCCGTCAAACATCTCCACATCAGTGAGGGTTGTGACAGAACTAGTCTTCACGGTAACCTATAATTAGATTTTCTTTTTCAAAACCAATCCTTCATGTGTCAAAATATTGACAAACAGCAGAACACTTAGCACAGGCATCTATAACTCATTTAGAGACAATACTCTTCTATTTTCATTTAAGAAAAAAAAAAAGACAAATTCAATGAAATATAGAATGGGAGGAGGGGTTCTAAAGTGCCATAAAAGGCCTGAGCAGGAACTTTTAAGTTCTCACGAGTCCATAAACGTGGCTGCGTCTTCAGGGAGCACAGAGCACCCTAGGGTGCAGGCCCCAGGCCGTGGCCTCCCAACGGCGCCTGTCCCTCCCAGCAGCGGGGCAGCACGCGCTAGCTCTGGGTGTGGGGTGTAGACTCCGGATTAAAGAGAGGAGATTCAGGCTCTGGGAGGGGTGCAGAGGAATTTCTGCTGGGCTGGAGCCCAGATGCTCCAGAGGAAATCAGCGCTGACAGTCTCATGGTGGGGGAGGGGGGATAACGAGCGACAAGGTAGGGAACAACGACGTGAGCAGCCTGGACCGGCGTGCCCGGAGCTGGGGAGAAGAGCGAGAACACCCCCCCCCCCCGGGCGCCCAAACACCTGAATCCACTGGAAGGTCGGACTCCAGGACCACCGCGAGGCTGGAGCGGAGGAATCAGGTGTCTCACAGCCACGGCTGGGACGATGGGGTGGACAGGGGAGGGCCCGCAGAGACAGCGCGCGCAGAAACACGAGCGCACAGGGGGAAAAAAATAATAATAAAGAAAGAAAGAAGAAAAAAAGAAACACCGAACACGAGAAATAGCCGAAGGGGACCGCGACAGGGACAGACTGCACCAAACAGAGGGAGAAACGGCGAGAGGAAAAAAAAAAAAACAGAAGGAAAAACAAATGGAGGCGGGAGGGAGTGAAAAGGGAAGAAGTGGAAGGATAAAGTGAAGAAGCGGAGGGTAAAGAAAGGGAGCCTCAGCGGAGCCACCCGAGCAGCCCCAGGCTGTCCCCAAGCAGTTGCTCCTGTTACCCTAGGACACCTGGCTCCCACCCCCGTCCCCGACCGAGCAACGGAGCCGCCAAGCCACCTGTTAAGTGCGCGCGCCGTCGTAAACCCGGGACGCGGCGGCGCCGGGGAATCTTCCAGAAGTTGCTGCCCAAGAGTGGGGCGCATGGGAGACCTCCAGGGAGCGTTCGGACGCTCCCCGGTCTCCCCAGTCACACACACTGGGGCGCGCGGGAGAGTGTCGGCGGTCCCCAGCTTCTCCTGCCCGGGTCCCTCCCCTCCCACGACCGTGGCGGGAAGGAAAGTTGCGCCCAAGAGTTGGTACCTGCGCTGAGCTCCAGGCTGGCGCCGTCGCTACCC